AGCGATTGGAAATTGATTTTGATAATACTTTGATCATGTTCCATTCCTTTTTGAATTCTAATTTCAATCCAATTGTCTCCTAGCAATCTTCAACGTATCTTCTTGAGTATTTGCAATTGGATCCTCGAACTTTGGATTTTACCATTTTTCACCATATTTTGCTTCTTTTCTCCAATTTTTCATCAAACATAATGTTTTACCCACACAATGCAATATAACATAAATTATGTAAAATTTAGTCAAAAGATCAATAAAATTCTATAGTTTTAAACTCCGAATAAGTGTAGAAAATACACTTATCAGTCAAATCCGGGAAAATGCAGATCAGCTTGTTCAGAATAATTTTGAGCTTCAAACGTAGGCTTCAAGACCCCGAATTTTTATACGTTCTTATACGAGTTATGTACTTCCCTGTAAAATTTCATAAGTTTTCGTGAAGGTTTGCTAGGTCAAATAATTTTTGCAAACTTACTGCACAACCGTAAAAACTGTTTGTGCTTGCCTCTTTTTTTTAAACCTCTTTCAAAAACTTCTCTGTTCCATAAATTTTCTGAGTTTATATGTTAAAACAAAAGTGTTGTGATTTTGTAGTTTGAGTAAATAAATTCCATTTAAAAAAAAAAAAAAAATCTTAAACCCTTTTTTTTTGGAAATTAACGTTAACGAACTCATGTTTGGTAACGCGTTGGGTTACTAGAACTTGGGGCATTACAAAAACCGCCACCACACGGTGCCACCACCATCATCATCACCAACCACAGTCGCCACCACCACAAATTTTCAACCCTAAGTTTACCTATAAAATCAGCTAGTTGTGGTTGAAATTGGGCTTGACTCATGGTTGGGTTAGGTGCGCCACAGGAAGAGGAAGGTGACCCATGTGGTCCGCGACCATGGGTTGAATAGACGTCGCTGGAATCACAGATTTCTTCGGACTGCGCGAAATGGGATCACGACCCTCATTTCGATTAATTGTTGTTTGGACTAAATTGAGGGTTGTTTCTGAGTCGCCCGGAGGTGGGCAGTCGACCGGTGGTGGTCCGCGATGAAGACGGTGGTCGGATGATGGGATTTTGGCAGGTTACAGAGAGTAAGGAAGAAGAGAGAGAGACAAGTGAGAAAATTCAGGAGAGAGAGTAAATGTATCTTGGGATTTTTTATTTTTCAAAACAATTTTTAAAAATGGCAAAAAGAACATGTTTTTAACAATCTCAAAATAGACACTTAAAACACAAAACCCAAAATGAATTCAAAACTAAAAACACAAAACTGAAACACGAAGAGAACAGTTCCTTAGTTTTTCTCTGTTTTTCAGAGCACTTGCCGTATTTTTCCGTGTCCACAAACGTATGGGATTTGAAAAAATAAATTAAAAAGGGACGCGTTTTCGAGATTTGTCGGAGCGTGTCTGGTGTGTGTCGGTGTCCGATACATATGAGACACCGACATGTCGGCTCTGGCAAATTGTGAGTGCAACATAGCATGAAGGTTGAATCATATGAATATGTGTGTGCATATATATGAACGGGTGTCACAAATTAGGTTCAATCTTTGATATTTATGAAATTTGGTTCGTGGGAATTGTACTGTAACTACTGTTTGCATCTGTCTATGAAGGTGAATTTTGGAAGCAATTAATTAGATTTTGCAGATCATTTTTCTTACCACTTTTGGCACTTCTTCTGAAGAGATGAAGTGAAACAGTATTAGAACTAACAATTGATAATTTAACAGATTTAACTATGCTTTAAGATAGAAAATGATATTGGATTGCGTGTGTTTTTTCAAATATCATGATTTCTTTGTATAGAAGATTCATGTGTCCTTTCTTCTAGCTTTCTTTATCATTTATTTCATAAATTAGATTGTGTTTACGTGTTAACTTGTCTGAATGCAGATGGATTAAAATTCGTTCTGGTAATTTAGACGACTTATCTCGTGTGACCTGTCAGTGGTTGAGAGGGTGATAGATACAGTGACCAAAATAATCTGTATTTGGTACTTGGTTTAATTCCTTGCAACTTGCAATGTAGTTGATTTTCTTTTACACCTCTTTTCATGGAAGGGTGAAGTTAAACAGTAACTGAAGCATGAGAAAAACCATATGAAAGACTAACTCTTCTCTCACGTAAATACCCTATTGAAACAGTTGTTTAATGTGTTAATGTTTATACATCTGTGTGTGTTGACGCTCGCGTTTTGATTGGATTGGGTTCGTGTATCTTTGGATCTATTACAAATTTAAGGTACAATTAACCGTTGTCCATTGTGCATATTTCCTTGTATCTTACTAAGAACAGATGAAACTGCTATGGTAATTTCCGGATTTTTACATCTTTGATATTGATTATTTGTGTATGACTAGGTCTGTTGCTGGGGAGAGGACAGTGAAGAAGCTTAGGTTATCGAAGGCACTTACAATTTCCGAGGGGACCTCAGTGTCGGATGCCTGTCGGAGGATGGCAACCAGACGTGTTGATGCTGTTCTGCTAACTGATGCTAATGCCTTGCTCTCAGGCATTGTCACTGACAAGGTATTTATGTAATGATTATGCAAAGCATAACTATTGTGTGCAAAATGTTGTGTTGTTTGGTTTTTAGATTCAAGATTTGATCTGTACGTTTAGGGAAAGCAAGAAGAACTCTTAGGTAATGTAGCTAAATATTCTAATGCAGTGAGCACGAAATGGTACAGTTACCCTCTATCATTACCCTTCCCGCATCTCCCCAAGTAAAAGGTTCAGATATTGAGCGCTTTGATAATATTTTAGGAATGTTGATATCTGAGTGTCAAGTGTTCTTTGTTTAGGACATTGCAACTAGGGTTATAGCTGAGGAGTTGAGGCCAGAGCAGACAATAATTTCCAAAGTGATGACGAGGAATCCCATTTTCGTGACTTCAGATACTTTGGCCATTGAGGCCCTTCAAAAGATGGTCCAAGGTTGCCTTTCCTATGGCTTCTGTTTTGATTATATTTTGTTATGCTTGGAAATACTTGTTTGATTTGGGAGTGAACATAATTTTGTGAAGTTGTGCATGAATTATGATATAATAACACCATAATCATAATTATTGTGGAATGAATTTGTAACTTCTTCTGAAGAGTATGATGGTACTAAATTTGCAATGACACCATTACAAATTTACAATGCTGCTTTAGCCTCAGAAGGTAAGTGTCTATTGAAACATTTGACAAGCAAATTGCTTAATATGGTGATATTGGTGTTGGAGATAAAGATCTTACATTGTTATGAAGAACAAAAAGAGATGGAGATATGAATATGATTTCAAGGATACAAATCCCTATAGTTTTGTGCCTTGAACATGCATGATTATTCTATTTTTAAATCTCCAAGCTTCAAGGTTAAGATTTCTGGCTACGTGTAAGATAATATTTTAATAAACTGGTTTTCTCTGTTTTTTCATCACCCTTTAAGTTTTTATCAACTTAATTTCCCAAGATATTATTCCTAGATTTATCATCTATCAACTCTCGATGTTTGTGCTAGTTACTGATAAATGACATCAACTAACTTTTTGGGCATTCGACCTTTTTGGATGTATTTTTTTACTTATAATTACCGCCAAATAGTTACCCATGTTTTAATTTTTCCCTGTTTGTTTCTTTTAACTTTAACAGGAAAATTCAGGCACCTTCCTGTTGTTGAAAATGGTGAAGTTATAGCTCTGCTAGATATCACAAAATGCCTTTTTGATGCTATATCAAGAATGGAGAAGGCCGCAGAGCAGGGGAGCGCCATTGCAGCAGCAGTTGAAGGAGTGGAACGCCAATTTGGAAGCAATTTCTCTGGTTAGTTCATACTTAAATGGTTATTGGCTTTGAACTATCGATTGTGTGCAACGAATTTTAGCTGTAGTGGTGCTAAAATGAAATTTATTATCTGTGTTTTGAGGAATAATTTTGATTTTATGTACATCTGTTTCTTACATTCATCATTACCCTGAGAAGCGAGGAACAAACACACAAAATTTAATATGCGTTTCGCCAGTTGCTTTTATTTGGTTAATTAGACTGCTATGCATATTATTTTTGTAATGAAGTGAAATATTAAAAAAAAAAAAAAATGTAAAACATTATGTAGTTTCTTCTGGTGGGATATTCTAGTGAATTATTTTACCCATTAGATTAGGATTTATTTTTTCCCCTTATGAGATGATATGGTTTCCAAATCTGAGTCAAAATTGCTGAAGCCCTTAGAAACTGCGCAAAAGTCTTAACATTCACACTGGTCAAAGTAGTACCTATTAAAGCCTTTTAGAGCAACTTAAAGTAGCAACATTGTCAGACAATCAACGTAAGGCCTTGGCACCTGTTCAGTATGGGCCTTCTACCTAAAATTCATAGTTCTATTAGGAACTTTTTTTGATGTGAATGGATAGAGTGCCCTTGTTTGAACTGTTCGCCTTGGCAAGTTGTTTGGGCCAAGCCTTTAACCTGAAATCTGAAGCCCGTGTTTCGATGTTGTAGCTGTGTAGTCCTTATAAGTTATAATCGATGTATACTTCCACAGTGTTAATAGATATTGAAATTCTGCCGGCAAGAGGCCTTAACGAACTTATTAAGATTGCCATTACTTCAGTTCAACTACAACACATCTTGTTTATTTGCATAATTAAATTTAATGTTGTCATAATGTTTCACATTCTTTTGGCTTTCTTTTGTATTTCAGCACCATCAGCTTTTATTGAAACACTTAGGGAGCGCATGTTCAAGCCTTCTTTATCTACTATTATTTCCGAAAATTCCAGGTGCAATTGAACTGGCCTAATGGTTATTAAATTTTTGATCTTCTTGAAGTCGCAGAATGTGTTACTAACTTTGTATTATTGTAACATTGCCAGGGTTGCAATAGTATCACCTTCAGATCCCATTCATGTTGCCGCTAAAAGGATGCGTGAATTGCGGGTTAATTCAGTTCTTATTATGACAGGAAACAAGATTCAGGGGATACTTACGTATAGTTTTTTCTCAGAAAGCTTCGTTTTTAAATTCATGTAGCTTATATAGAATATTACTAATGTGCCTATTGGAGGGTTTAGTTTTCCTGCATTATCCTACCTTGTGATAGCTCATAGTTGTCTTTTGGGATTTCATTGCAGTTCAAAAGATATTCTTATGCGAGTTGTGGCTCAAAATCTCTCTCCTGAGCTGACTTTAGTGGAAAAGGTTTTACATCTCCTTTGATTTAGATGTTAAGAGTTCTGGAAACACACTATATTTTCTTTCCTTTGTGTACTTCACCTTGATCAACTGAGGTCCCTTATTACTACTTTTTAGTGATCTTATGATACATGAAGATATTTATCATGAAACTGTACTTGATCATTTTTATTATAATAATTACAGGTTTGATGTGTATTACGCTTGACAAGCTATTTGATGTGTTCTTTTAATTTTTAGAAATATATATATACCTTTTGGTATAGATGCGTGATTATAAGCCAGCTATCTTAGGCAGGTTTGACCTCTTTCTTGGTGGTTACTTTTAACTGTGTATTTAATACTATAGCAAGTACGGAATCTTCTAATGTCACACTGGAAAAATAAAATAAACTCAAATATAGTAGAATCACATCTTTTAATTTTCATCTCATTCATCATTGTTTGATTAAAGATGTTTGCCTATCTCAAGGTAATGACACAGAACCCTGAATGTGCAACACTAGAGACAACAATACTCGAAGCGTTGCATATAATGCATGATGGGAAGTTTTTACATCTTCCCGTTGTAGACACAGGTGATTACTGCTTTTTAATAAAAAAATTGTGAGTACACAGCTTTCAAATCCTTAATACTATTTTTTTTGGCAGATGGAAGTATTGCTGCCTGTTTAGATGTTTTGCAACTATCACATGCAGCAATTTCTATGGTAAAGTTAGTTTCACTTCGAATCTATAGAGATTTCCAGATACAATTTATGGTGTTTTTCTTTTCTCTATGTTTTGTTTGGCTTTTAGGATGCGACCTATGAATCTTCCCTTGAATTAGATATATTCCTGGAAGCTAAAATATAACTATTATTTGAGATTTCATTTGGAGTACATTATTGAAAGCATGTGAATATCCTAGATATGATCTGTTAGACATAATACAATGAGAACTGTCTTCATGCTTGTTTATTTGTTTATATTTTTTCTCTAGATGATGACACTTTTAATCTTTGGTATCCTTGGAGGACTTCGGGACTCTCGAGGTTTTATGTTGTCTTCCAGGAGCGGAAGATAGACAATATTATCAGTATATTCATACAATGGTTGTAAAGGGTTTTTGTTCATTTAGTTTCTAATTTCTACTGATAAATGAAAATCTGTAAGTGGATTATATACTGGTTAAGGATATAGTATGTTATTTTGTTATACCATCCTATGTAGAAATTACATTTTTCTTTTTGCACAATATTGCTAAGTTCTTGATGAGTGCATCATTATTGGATAATTACTCAGAAATGTCTCCAGGACTGTTTTGTTCTTTGTGTGGTCTCCACCTGTCAACAATTTGGTTGAAAGTTTTTTTCTTAGCCCCTGTTTGACAACTATTAAAATGAGTTTTTTTTAATGAGTTTTGGAAGAGTGACTTTTTTGAGAATGTGTGGCTAAAAAGTAGGAAAAAGTTTTGGGTTTACATGCAAAATATTTTATTTTGAGAATGTGGTTGAAAATGAGTTTAAGAAAGAAAGTGTTATATTTTAATGGTTGTCAAACCGGGGCTTAATAAATTTGTAAGAGTACTTTCTGGAAAATCCTAACATCCTAAGGGAAGTCATTCACATGATTTACTAAATGACACTGGTCTTGTAACTATGCGCGATTAAAATCTGATAGGAGACGGCGTTAAAAGTTTCCCTAAGTATGAATCTTCATTTTCAGGCCTGCCTGTCAAATTATGAGCTTTCGAAATGTACCTTCTTGTATTTAAAAGTATTGGCACTTGCATATGGGGTCAAAAATGTGTGAACATGTTAGTTTATATGCACTTGATTTCTCAAGGATTTTGGGGAGAAATAAGTTTTTTTTAATGCCTTTCTCAAGGTTGAAAGTAGCTCTGGTGCTGTTAATGATGTGGCAAATACAGTGATGCAAAAGTTCTGGGATTCAGCACTTAATTTAGAGACATCAGATGATTTTGACACTCACAGGTCACTTTTAATTTTCTTATAAATAAGTTATCTTGACGAGCTGGGTGTGTAACTACTACTCATTCATGCTGTTTTATACAGTGAGATGTCAATGTCTCAATTCATGGCATCAGATGGGATGGAATCAGGGAAGTCTGCCTATCCATCCCTTGGTCTTGGAAATTCATTTGCTTACAAATTTAAGGACAATAAAGGACGTGTACACCGATTCAATTTTGGTGAGTACATAGTGATTGCATGACATGCTGGGCTTTGATCTAGATTTATATTTCATTACTTTTCTCTATTTCACGCATGTCTATTCTCATTATTTATAGAACTTAAATACAAGCTATTGAGTTTTAATGTATCAGATACTACAGCAATCTTGAAATAATGATGTGACAGATGGGATAGTTATACTATATACAGCAGCTTTGGTATTAGGATGCATTGAGTTTTGGTCTATAGACTAAGAAAAAATGCATTTAGGTCACGAGCAGCCGTAATAGAGCTTACATTTGTAAACCTGCTAAATGCAAATGGTACCTATTAGTGCTGTTGATTTCATCAAGCTAAGTTTCCAGGCAGCTAATGGTCCTGATCTATGAAGCATTGACTCCTAAAGTGGTGTCTTTGTCTGACATGTGTCATGTCGTGCTCAACTCCTACACTCCCAAGGAACTCTAGGACACGTGTCTGACGCACCATGTGGCATGTCCTATTTTTCATGTATTACTTAAATTTCCAACACTGGAGGGTTACTTAAGGGACACTCGGGCACTATAAGACGTGCCATGGTGTGTTTTGTACTGTTCATATTCTTTATAGTTCTAACTTCTAACGGGCAGTGAACATTCCTCGACACAAAGGACAAGGAAAGTCCCTTTTTGTGAGTTTTGAAGTATAAAATTGAAGAAATTTTTAATTAGAACAGTTGTCCAAAAAACTCAAAATAATTGAGAAAAGTTCTAGGAACTGTATGTTGAATTTTTCACGTCTACTATATGCATTTTTCTTTCTTCGGTACTATTTATATAGCTTAACTCAGTTACTTTAATATAACAAATAGCTACTTTTCTCACTTTAAAGATTTTACTAAATGGAAAATCAAAACGAAAAGAAGTATGTGTTACCCCCCAGAATTGGAAGCTCCAGGTCAGCAGTCCGCGTGGACAGCCACGTATTCCCTTTAGCCAGGTGGACAGAAAGCCAGTTGAAAAGTCAATGGGGGAGCCAACACAAGCAAGGTCAACAAAGGCTCCTAGGTCCAAAGCTCCTCCATGTGAAAGCAGAGGCTCCTAGGTTCGAAGCTCCTTCGTGTGAAAGCAGAGGCTCCTTGGGTCCGAGGCTCCTTCGCCCAAAGGCAGAAGCTCTTGAAGAACGAAGTACTGAAGCTTAACGCAGATGTTTCCTTATAGCAAATTCGAAGATCTCTCAGAACTGATTGACGTGACATCTACCATAAAGTGTCCGTAGCATTAATGTGTGTCAGTAAGTCAGTCTACAACGTAGAACGGCTGATCACGTAACCAAGAAATGAGTTCCACTAATGAAAATGCCTCTAGAAGGACGAGGGAACGCCTTGAAGAAGGAGAACCCTCACGAGTTGTCCCGATAGCCCAGCCGAGACCTTCAATGCGCAGAAGAGGAGGTTCCAGGGGCGGAGGTGGAGTTGCAGCCAGGTTAACTAGAGAAATGGCAACAATGGCTGCCAACACGAGGACCATCACTCAGCAGAACCAAGCCATGCATGAAATGTTGATGCACATGCAAGAACAAGGAGGCTATCAGGCTCCACAACATACGGCTCCCGAAGACGTATTCCCCGACGCTCAAGCCTATTACCACGAGGAGGTCCAGAGCCAAATGGCAGGACATCGCCTTTACGGGACTGGAGCTCCTCAGGAAGACAAGGACGAAATGGATTCGTCTAACAATCACGCTTCGGAAAGGCTGTAGGAAGAGAGACCCCAAAGGTCGAGAAGCGTCTTCGACCTAGAAATAGGCGAGCCAATCCACCTCCGGCACCTAGCAACAGGTATGACGATGAGGTACCTCCTGTCCGTCCCCCTAGAAATAGGCGCGAAAGGCGTGAACAAGCTAGAAGCGAAGCATGAACTTCCCAACCACCTTCCTTGATCAATCCAAGGGAAGAAGAGAACCCTGATGAGCCTCAGATGTCTTGCGACCTCGATAATGATAATGAGCACCTATGTTGCTCGGACTCTTCATTTTGGTCGGCATACCCATGTCGACACGACACGGGTACGGGTACGAAATACGGGTCGGACGCGGCAAATTTCAACCGGACACGACCAGGAGTGGAACCTGTTGAACTGCCAGAATCGCCACCGCAGAGCCAGAAATCGCGTAGGGAAGAAGAAGAATGAGGAGGAGGAGAAGGAGGATGGCTGCTGCTCATTCGCAGATCTAAAATCTGGAACTGGAAGTCGTGAAGAAGAAGACGACGAAGAAGGAGGAATGGTGTTGGATTGGGCTTTTTTTGCTTTTTAAGTTTTGGGCTGGGCCTTAAACATTTTTTTTTCAAAAAAAAAAAACATTACTTTTTTTTTAAAAAGGAATTTATTTATTGTAATTAAAGTATATTTATTGATTGA